AAAAAGAGAGAAGAAGGGACGTTAAACCTACAGAATGCAAACACTTTTCCCGTTGTAGACGCATCAATGACGTCATCACCGCAGTACAGGGCATGCTGGTCGAGAAAGAAGGAGGAAGAGGAGGAGGAAAGAAGAAGAAGAAGAAGAAGAAGAAGAAGAAGAAGAAGAAGAAGAAGAAGAAGAAGAAGAAGAAGAAGAAGAAAGAAAGAAGAAGAAGAAGAAGAAGAAGAAGAAGAAGAAGAAGAAGAAGAAGAAGAAGAAGAAGAAAAGAGAAAAAGAAGAAGAGGAAGAAGAAGAAGAAAAAAAAAGAAGAAGAAGAAGAAGAAGAAGAAGAAGAAGAAGAAGAAGAAGAAGAAAGAAGAGAAGAAGAAGAAGAAGAAGAAGAGAAGAAGAAGAAGAAAAAGAAGAAGAAGAAGAAGAAAAGAAGAAGAAGAAGAAGAAGAAGAAGAAGAAGAAGAAGAAGAAGAAGAAGAAGAAGAAGAAGAAGAAGAAGAAGAAGAAAAAAAAAGAAGTCAAAGAAGAAGAAGAAATAGAAGAAGAATAAGAACAAGAAGAAGAACAAGAAGAAGAACAAGAAGAAGAAGAAGAAGTCAAAGAAGAAGAAGAAATAGAAGAAGAATAAGAAGAAGAAGAAGAACAAGAAGAAGAACAAGAAGAAGAAGAAGAAGAAGAAGAAGAAGAAGAAGAAGAAGAAGAAGAAGAAGAAGAAGAAGAAGAAGAAGAAGAAGAAGAAGAAGAAGAAGAAGAAGAAGAAGAAGAAGAAAGAAAGAAGAAGAAAGAAGAAGAAGAAGAAGAAGAAGAAGAAGAAGAAGAAGTAGAAGAAGAAGAAGAAGAAGAAGAAGAAGAAGAAGAAGAAGAAGAAGAGAAGAAGAAGAAGAAGAAGAAGAAGAAGAAGAAGAAGAAAAAGAAGAAGAACAAGAATTTAATTTCTTTGATAGCTGCAAGGACATTCCTTTGTCCAGGTGACCTGTACGCAATTAAACCAGGCTTATAAATTTAATTTCTCAGTTCTAAAGTGTTAATACACAACAACAAGACAAACTACAGAATGAATTAGATACAAACTGTGAACATATTGCAAATGTTAAGATAAATATGCACAAGAAACTGAACCAGCCGCGGCAAAGGTTCTACATAACTCACTAGCATGGTCTAGAATAATAGAAGTGCGTTAACAAAGAATTGAGTTTTTAGTAAAGTCAAGACCCCAGATAACAGCACTGGGCACATTATCATACTCGATGCATCCCCATCTCAAGCAGCAGTAGGTTAACACGCTGATATATATATATATATATATATATATATATATATATATATATATATATATATATATATATATATATATATATACACACACACATATATATATGGAATTTTTCGTTATTCTGAAGCTCCACCCTGGCTGTTCCTGGGGATGGTAATATAACCTAACGGTTGAACGAGATTTCTGGGGTCTCTCCACAAGTGATCCCTAACCTCATACTTTGTATCACGGGTGTTTATCGCTCTGCGTGAGGTCCTGGGTGGGGTGGGGTGGTTGGGGGAAGAGGTGGGGTGTTCTGAGTAACCAAGGTCAATATGAAACCAAGTAATTCTTAATGGTATAAAGGGTGATGGGTGGGGGTGGGAGGGGGGGGGGGTCTGACACGACGGTAAAAGTTGATCTCCCCATTCCTCGCCCATAAACACACTAGATCACTTCTGATTGGTAGTTCCTGAACCTGTCACCTTGGCACGCCAGCGCTTTAACACTCTAAAAACATGGAGAAACTGGTCCTGACACATTACCCCCCCCCCCCCCCCCCCTTTCGGTAGAGAGTTCTGCAACTTATATCATAGGCGTTCTCTTTCTCAGAATGAAAACGTCAATGCCATGACATCACAGAAAGCAAACAACAGAGCGGGAAACACCTGTAACCTTCAGGAAAGTCGACCAGCCCAACAATCTTGTGAATGAAAAGTGACCTACTCTTTTTGGAGAGACTAACGTGAACCTAACCTGGCGTGACATCTTTGTTGGTTTGTTTGTTTTCACTGGCTGTAAAATCAGGGTGAAAGTCCCGGTTGTTAGTCCATTTCTAAACTGTTTCTTTATTCAAGACTTGAACTTTGCGTGTGCCTCTGTTTTACAAACGCTGCAGCCTGTTGTTTTCATGCATACAAGGCAGGTGAACTCCGACTTGGGGGGAAAACGTAATCGTGAGGTAAAAATAGAGAAGATAAGTCAATTAAATGTCGTCGAGAAGACAATACTGGATTTGACCCAATCCAGCAGCTCGGACATCTGACAACAATCAGGTTAGCCATTTCTATCGGCAGTTCAGCCAGCGGTTCTGATTGGATTTCTTGGCTGTGATGATGTCACTTGTTTTGTGTAGGCTCTTGACTCTTTTCCCCAGGCACTCACTGAAACTTTCCATTTTTTATGCAAACAGAATCTCTTCCTGCCCTATGGGTGGAAACTAGCCATTCCATTGGGAAGACTCTTGAGCAGGGCTGCTCAAGTTTGTACTTTCAGATTCACCACTACTGAACTCTTGCCTAGCAAACCGTACTTTGGGCACCATATTTGATATTTGTGTAGTTGTAGAAATGCAGCATCAAAATTTAAAATGTGGACACTGTTTTGCTTAAAAAGAAAGGATTCGGAGTCATCAATATCATCATCGTGTACCCTGCCAACTGGTGTAGGAGCTCATGCGTCTCCACAGATCACTGTCCCTGCTTGACTGGAACAGCTCTCTTGATGATATCCCTCCATGCCATCGTTTTAGCCCATCCAGCATCATCTCTCTCTCTCTCTCTCTCTCTCTCTCTCTCTCTCTCTCTCTCTCTTTCTCTCTCTCTTCTCTCTCTCTCTCTCTCTCTCTCTCTTTGGTTTGCATCTACCCCTTTTTTCACTAATCTTTCCAGTTGTCACTATGTTCTCCACTGTCTCTCTTCATATTATGTGGCCAAAGAACAGTCCTTGTCTCTTTCTTATTGTTGTATATAGAGATTTACTTTTAGTAACCTCTTTCAAGCAATCGTTGTTAGTTACTCTTGCCGTCCAAGGTATTCGTAAAATTCGTCCCAGAAACCAAATTCGCAGTGCAATGAAAATAAGCGTGATACAATTGTTGATAAAATAACTGTTCTTTGAAAACGTTACAAATAAATACATTGATGAGATTAGCCCTGGACATTGAGCGCAACAGCAGGAAACCGCTACAGTTTTGTTACACACAAAGCGGAAACAAAGGGACCGAAATAATTAAATAGATAACGAATTTTTGTGAGTACAAATTTAAAATGTGGTACCTTTTCGTGTGTTGTGGTACTTCTTCAAAATTGTTTGGTACTTTTCCCCCAAAAAATTGTATGCAGCTCTGCTCTTGTCTGGCGTTTTACTATTCTTTTTTTTTTTTTAAATTCCATCTGTGTTAGGGTTAGGGTTAGTCTTTCACAATTTTTAAGAGCTGAAGTGACTGGCTGCGGACATTTCAAGGAAGGACTGACTTAGTTGATAAGTTTTACTAATGATCTCTTTCAGTGGGGAAAGAAAATAACTAACATTAGCGTGTGTAGTCGATGCCACTTGACATCTTTTTCTCTCAGTAGTGTATGTAGTGAATGTTACTTTACGTCATTGCAACTTAGTACCGTAGGCAGCCAGTGCTGTTTTACATGTCTCTATCTCACTAGCGTATGTACTCATTGCTAGTTTACATTGTTGTATCTTATGAGCATATGTATTATATGCTACTTTACATTTGTGTATCTTATGAGCGTATGTATTATATGATACTTTAAATCTGTGTGACTTATGAGCGTATGTATTATATGCTACTTTACATTTGTGTATCTTATGATCGTATGCATTGTATGCTTCTTAACATTTTTATTTCTTATGAGCGTATGTGTTATATGTTACTTTACATTTTTGTAACTTATGAGCGTGTGTATTATATGCTACTTTATATCTTGCTATGAAAGAATCAGTCGGTAGTATCTGGAACTTAAAGATTCACGCCGCTAGAGCTCCCAATTATCTCACCCCCACCAATAGTGTTAAAGGGGGTACAGGCTCCGTTGTCGAATCTTTTCTCTGCACGACGTAAGTCCAGAATTAAAAGTATAACCATAATTTTCCCACGGAGTTTACAGGCGGTGAACGCTAGTATAACGAATAGGAGTGAGTTTACATGTGTGTAGAGTGGAAGATGTGTTTAGTTGCAAGTCAAAGTTACAAGTGTCGTAGAGTGCATAGTTACTTTGCATTGTAACTTTCTATCGCATAGTTAATGTGTGCAATTCATTTTACTTTACATCGTCTTATCGCAGAAGTAATGTGTGTGTGGTCGATGTTACTTTACATCTTTGAATCGTAGACATGTTTGCTACTTTGCATTTTTCTGTTGCAGTCAGTGTTACGTTACACAGTCACTGTTATGTTTAACTATTCACGGTATGTGTGTGTTTCACAGATCTGGTTTATTTTTATGCATACTAATGGTTCCTTGTCTAAAGAACCTAAATGCACACAGTGTGTCAACATTACTTAATATATTTCGCTAGCGGAAATGTAGGTATAGTTGTTTCACTCATTGTGATAACACTCCTTTGAGTGACAACACTCCTTTCAGTGACAGCATTCCTTAAAGTGACAACACTCCTTTCAGTGACAGCATTTTTTAATCCAGAATTCCTTACAGTGACAATACTCCTTACAGTGAAAACACTCCTTTCAGTGACAGCATATTTTACTCCAGAATTCCTTACAGTGACAATACTCCTTAAAGTGGCAACACTCCTTACAGTGACAACACTCCTTTCAGTGAAATAATTCCTTACAGTGACAACACTCCTTAAAGTGACAACACTCCTTTCAGTGACAGCTTTCCTTAAAGTGACAATACTCCATTCAGTGACAGCATTTTTTACAGTAAAAACACTCCTTAAAGTGACAACACTCTTTACAGTGACTAAACTCCTTAACGTGACAACACTCCTTTCAGTATCAACACTCTTTACAATGATAACACTACTCACAGTGACAACACTCCTCACAGTGACAACACTCCTCACAGTGATAACACTCCTTACAGTGACAACACTCCTTACAATGACAACACTCCTCACAGTGATAACACTCCTCACAGTGACAACACTCCTCACAGTGACAACACTCCTTTCAATGACAACACTCCTCACAGTGACAACACTCCTCACAGTGACAACACTCCTTTCAGTGACAACACTCCTTTCAGTGACAGAATTCCTTACAGTGACAACACTCTTTACAGTGACAACACTCCTTAAAGTGACAAAACTCTTTACAGTGACAACACTCCTTACAGTGACAACACTCCTTAAAGTGTCAACACTCTTTACAGTGACAACACTCCTTACAGTGACAACACTCCTTAAAGTGACAACACTCCTTTACAGTGACAACACTCCTTACAGTGACAACACTCCTCACAGTGACAACACTCCTCACAGTGACAACACTCCATACAGTGACAACACTCCATACAGTTACAACACTCCATACAGTGACAACACTCCTTACACCAACAACACTCCTCACAGTTACAACACTCCTCACAGTGACAACACTCCATTCATTGAAAATAGCATATTGAATGAAAAGACATTATTATCTCTTAAGACGACACTCAGTTACCTGAAAATATACTGATAATTGTAAATAGCTACCCATTGCTGTATAACACCACTTGTCCTATGGTGATATTATCACCCCTCTGTGGTAACATTTCTTTTGTGGCATTACCCCATCTCGCAACAAACTTCCCCTCTTTGCTAACATGACCTTGCCCTGTGGTAACACCCTAACGTGGTGACATTACCCAGTTCAGTGGATACATTTTCATGTGTTGTAAAGATCCCATTTTGTGTCATTAACACCCCCTTCCCATACCCCCCCCCCCCTCCCCTCCCCTTACCACTTTCTTTTCCTCGTCGCCAAAATTACCCGTCCCGTAGTAACACCCTCATGTGGTGACATTACCCAGAGGAGTGGACGCAATCCTGTGGTGACATTACCCATCCTTATACAACACACCATCTCACAAGAACACCATTAAAACCAAGCTGGATGTAAAGGTTACATGATGATAGCATTGATTTATCGGCAAGTCTAATCACGACCCGCCGAAATCGCAGGAAAAAAATCGCTCACGGGAAGAGTTAACACACAGAAGAAACGCAGTGAAACTGTCTCAAGTGATGGACAGGGTAACGGGACAGTGCGCGAATGTTCATAGCCTTGTGGAAGACAATTCTTCTTTTCACTTTTTTCTGACCCCCCTCTTTTTTACAGTTTCTTCTTTGTCCTTTTTATTTCTACCTAATTTCCCTTTTTATTCTTCCTTTTTCGTCTATTTCGTCTTTTTCTTCCTTCTTCTTCATCCTTCTCCTTGCCTTATTCATACCTTTTCCCTCTGCTTTCTTCGTACACTTATTTTCTCAATATTTTTCTTCTTCCTTCGTTATGCACCCTTTTTCTTTCCGTCATTCTTTCTTTTGTCACGTCCTTTCTCCAATTAGCCTTACTTTTTGCTTCCTTTATACTTCTTCCTTCTGTCGATTTCTTCTTCTTCTTGCTATTCTTGTTCTTCTTGCTATTCTTGTTCTTCTTCTATTCTGGTTCTTCTATCCTTCTTGTTCTTCTTGCTATTCTGGTTCTTTTTATTCTTCTTGTTCTTCTGGTTCTTCTGGTTCTTCTTTTGTTGTTTTTCTTCTTTTTTTCGTCTTTTTCTTCTTCTTCTTCTTCTTCTTCTTCTTCTTCTTCTTCTTCTTCTTCTTCTTCTTCTTCTTCTTCTTCTTCTTCTTCTTCTTCTTCTTCTATTTCTTCTTTTCTTCTTCTTCTTCTTCTTTTCTTCGTCTTCTTCTTCTTCTTCTTCTTCTTCTTCTTTTCTTCTTCTTCTTCTTCTTCTTCTTCTTCTTCTTCTTCTTCTTCTTCTTCTTCTTCTTCTTCTTCTTCTTCTTCTTCTTCTTCTTCTTCTTCTTCTTCTTCTTCTTCTTCTTCTTCTTCTTCTTCTTCTTCTTCTTCTTCTTCTTCTTCTTCTTCTTCTTCTTCTTCTTCTCTTCTTCTCTTCTTCTTTCTTCTTCTTCTTCTTCTTCTTCTTCTTCTTCTTCTTCTTCTTCTTCTTCTACTTCTTCTCTTTCTTCTTTTTCTTCTTTTCTTTTTCTTCTTCTTTATTGTATCCTCCTCTTCTTTCTTCCTGTTCTTCTTCAGCGTTCGCCTCCAAAGGGCTGCTGGCACACTGTATTTTATTTCATAATGAGGCTACCATCCACTTTCAATCAAAACATCTGATCTGAGTAGTAAGAGGAAGTGGGTGTCTAATCTAAAACACCTTTCACTCCCACCAGATTTTTTAAAAACACGTTTTGATTAGTTTAGTGTGTTTTCATTCAATGAGAGGATGAGTGACGTTCCACCCCACCAGGACCACGCGACGAGCGATAAACACTTAGTGACACAAAGTGCCACCATTTGTATGATGATCACCCAGGGACACGTTCTATAAACACCGTTCAATCCATAGGTTGGGTTATATTAGGGCGGCCGGGAACAGTCGGGGCGAGTCTTTAAAACAAACAAACAGAAACTGCGTGCGACATTAAAACAGGTTGTATTATTTTAGGTAGGTAGGTAGGTAGTTGCACCCCGCAGGAGATAATACTTGCGCTAAACAACACGTTGCAACCACGCGGATGAGGGTCACCTGTGAAGAGGTCCCAGAAACTCCTTTTAGCTGTGAGGTCATATGTTTATGGCCCGGCTATATTCAGGGTCCCTGGCAAAAGTCAGGATGGACTTCAAATAACTATAAATTGCAGCCCACATGGCGACGACTATGTAGGTATTGTTGCTTGCTTGTTGTACCCCACCAGGACATCACACAAGCGAAAAACACCCGGTGTCACAAAGTGCCATCATTCGGATGAGGATCACCCGTTGAGAGGTCCCAGAAACCCCTTTCAGCCTTTATGGCCACATTTGTTGCCCAGCTATTTTCAGGGCTCCAGGCAAAAGCCAGACTGGGGCTTCAAATGACGAAAAGTTTCATCTCACACGGGGATGGCAGATGCATTAGGTATTTTTGACTGACTGACTTTCTACCCCCACAAGGACATCACACAAGTGATAAACACCCGATGAAACAATGTGCCACCATGTGGATGAGGATCACCGTGGAGAGGTCCCAGAAACTGCTTTCAGCCATTAGGCCATATTTTTTATGGTTAGGCTATATTCCGGTCCCTGGCAATAGCCAGAGTAGGGCTTCAAATAAGCAAAAATTTTATCCTAAAAAGGACGGGAAGTGTTACTCTTTCATTATTTTATATTATTATTAGGTATGACTGACTGACTGAGTTTCTACCTTACCAGGACATCACAAAAGCGATAAACACCCGATGACACAAAGTGCCACCATGCGGATAAGGATCACCGTGGAGAGGTCCCAGAAACTGCTTTCAGCCATTAGGCCATATTTTTTATGGTTAGGCTATATTCCGGTCCCTGGCAATAGCCAGAGTAGGGCTTCAAATAAGCAAAAATTTTATCCTAAAAAGGACGGGAAGTGTTACTCTTTCATTATTTTATATTATTATTAGGTATGACTGACTGACTGAGTTTCTACCTTACCAGGACATCACAAAAGCGATAAACACCCGATGACACAAAGTGCCACCATGCGGATGAGGATCGCCGTGGAGAGGTCCCAGAAACCGCGTTCAGACAATTAGCCATATTTATGGCCTGCCTATATTGCGGCCTCTGGCAGAAGCCAGAGTAGGGCTTCAAATGACAAAAAATTTCGTCCTGAAAAGAACGAAATTGAGAATTGATTATTAGGTGTTGTTTTAAATGTCAAATATTCCTGAACTCAAAAATTGTCAGTTGTGGGCACAATATTAAAATGGCTGCTTTAACTTTCGGTAACATTACTGGTCAGTATTTTAAGCTAGGTCGATAAGTTAAGACATGTACAGTTTTCAGGTGCATCTTAAAAGTCTACGTTAACGTTAATCTAACTTGCCGGATATTCGAAGTAACTCAGTTGGTGTTTGTGCAGTGTTTTTTTGTGTGGTTATATCCCTTGAGTGACTTTTGTAGAACAGTTTCAAAGCACAGGCAGCATTTTATAAAATGAAGAATATTCTATGCAATATTTGTTTTCTCTGTCAACAGAGTGGAGAAAGAGAATTCTTTCAGCTACAAAAACCATATTCTGATATACGGAAGCGAATCATGGACAGTTTGACCGTTAGATACAAATTATTTCAAAGCGGTGGAGAGGTGGTTTGATGGGCCAATGATGAAAATATCATGGCCAGATATAAAATGAATAACCAAGATGTCGGTTGAAACAAGCTGACTCACAAATATGACAGATTCCTCACATGTACTGAAATGAATCATGGACAGACTAGTGTTTTATTTTTATTTTTTACTCAAGTCTGAGTCCGAAAAGGCTCAGCACAGGGAACAGGCTCTGTAGCACCGGCGAGGATCCTGATATACTTTGCGTAGATTTTCAACTCCAAATTTTGCCCGGGAAGCGCCGTTAGGCTATTGTTTTCGATTTTCAACTGCGAAGTTTTTATTTTTATATGTGGGCAGCAATGCACACGGACGTCCGATCTCACTAGTCACTCACTAGTCACAGACTAGGGGGGATTACTAGAAGTCCAAGTCCACGTGAAAACAAATCCCAACCCTTACTGGGTATTAAACAAGGAACCTTTAGCACACGAGGTGGACACCATGCTTCGAGATCACGCTGCCCCCCCCCCCCCAACCCCCAGTCGAGAAAGAGAATTCTTACAGCTACATAAATCCTACTCTGATATACGGAAGAGAATCATGGACAATGTGGCCATTAGATACAAATTATTTGAAAGCGGCAGGAAGGTGGTTTCATGAACGAATGATGAAACTACCGTGGCCAGATTTTAAAAAAAAATGAATAATCAAGACGAAACAAGCTGACTCACAAAGATAACAGATTCCTCACATGTACTGAAATGTTCATATTATGAACAGATTGACAATTAGTGAAACAATATTTAGAAGTGGCAGTGGTTTTATAAATGAATGAGAACACCATTGTCTGATAAAAATAGTAACATGAATAATTTGAAAGAAACTGACGATTCCCACCCCAAAGTAGGACGCAGTTTGTCGTTATTTGAAAGCAATGCCCCTGCTTAATTCAGGGGCAGCGGGGCATTAAAATAACCTAACCTTTGAACGTGTTCTCTGAGACTTGTACCCGGGTGAT